TTTAAGTATTTCTATGAAAAACAAAAACAAAAAACAACTGCTTACTGGCTCTCTCCCCCACCCTCTTCCCCACCCACCCTTCTGCCCGAGCTTCTGATTTGGGATGGGGAAATCTTAGATTCTGCATTTCGGACAAGTTCCTAAGTGACACACATACTCAAAGTATGGTCCGGAGACCATACTTTGAGTAGCACTCCCCTAAACATAGCTCACCCATTCATAGGGAGCGCAGAACTTGCCTGTGAGTCTACTTCTTGTCTCTGAGGGACTCACAGTTTCTCCTACATCTGAGCTCTTCTAGAACCTGTTGGCCCTTGATGAAATGCCCTCTGATATGTGTATAAAGGGTGTCAGTTTTGTTGTCAAAACTGCTCTCTTTGGGGAAGGCGATTGGAATTGTGTAACTTCTCTCCAAGCTTCACTGGACTCTGAGTGACTGTGTTTGAATTAATCGGTGGAGAGACTTGTAATTACTTTACTATAAATCAAGGCAGCATCCTGACTGGATCAGGGAAAGGGAAAAATGACTGAAAGCAGGGTCTAGAAGTGCAAGCTATAAAATGACTTTGGGAAGCAAATGAATGTTGTGTTTTCCACGTAGTTAAGCCTGAGCAACCTGGGTTTCCTTGGTATCACAAACTTAGAACCTGAGAGAACCCCCCCACACACACACATACTATTTATTTACTATTATTTATTTACTTATGTATTTTTATTATTTATTTTATTAAATATTTAGTTATTATTTAGAGAAATGATTTTCTGCTAAGAAAATGATTTTGTTAGGAAGCACACGCCTTCCTATTAGCGTTCAACTGGTTTTCTAACAAAAATCTTGGGATGTTCTTGCCCCAAGAGGAAAGGCCTATTTTTGACAATAGAGACAGAATGCTATCAAGCTGGCTGAGACGTATGTTTTCTAGGGTGTCATACTCCACAGAGTAGACTCAGTTACCCACCATTGTCACCTGGTTACTCACTGGCAAGTCCAAATTGAGGGACAGGTCTCCTGACTCCAATTTAATGGTGAAATTCCCAGTAGCTTAGGAAACTTCCAGAAATGCCACCCTGACACACAGGCTAAATACAGTCTGGAAAATTTAGGCTTAATTTCATAACTGACAAGATGAATTGTGTGGCAAGAAATTAGATGGTGTATAAGGAAAACAAAATTTTGATGTGTGTAGATTTCTGTAAGTGACTCTAAGAAACATAAAGGAAAATGAGGAAAAGTTTTTTAAGTGACAATTGAGTAATATGATTTAGTAGACTTTAATAATTCTTGGGAAATGGAATTAAGTGAGCAATTATATTCACCACAAAAGGCTTAATTGCTATTATGGATTATTTGCTGCTTCTCCTTAAAATAAGATGTCTTACAATAGAGAAAAGAAAATAGATTTCATGTTATTTGCACATTGACTTTGCTACAAAAGGAAAATGAAAGGACATAGAAATTTCCAGTTCTTGTTATATTTTAGAAATGAAGGCTCTTGAGATGCAGAATTCCTGTTCAGATTTCTGTTTTAGAGTTTAAATGTTTGAGCATTTCTTAGCACTATTTCAAAATGTAGAAGTGGTAGAAAGAAAAATGTCATGCTTACATATTGAAGTGAATCTCCTCTATTCCAAACTATTTTTCAAAATGACAGTTTTTCAAATGACACTCCCTGTGGCACAGGGGTTAAAGCACAGCACTAAGAAGCTGGCCACAGCTGCTTCAGCACGAGTTTGATTCCCTTCCAGGGTGCTTACCCACATAGCATAGCAGACGTCTCCTGTCTGGCCCGCTGTTCCCCTCAACAATATACTTCATAGATCTATCTGCCTGTTCTGCTCCCCACTCTGTCTCTGGTGAATCCACTCACTGCCCCTGCACCTCTGGCCTGTACTCTGGTAAAAAATGACTAAAGGATTTATAGCTAAAATGACATTTGTTGTGGGTTTTTGCATAATCAAATGATCTTACAATTGTCTGAAGAACTAAGTGTAGAAGGTTTAAACTCTGTTTTAGAGAAGGGAGGAAAGTTCTGCTGAGGGATAATGGCCTGTCACTGAAAGAACTATGTTGCTTATGTCCCCAGAAGAATGGAAGGAGTTTCCTCTTTGTTGCCTTTAATCTGAGATGGTGCTTTCTCTCTCTCTTTTTTTTTTATATTCATTTATTTATGAATACATACCTTGGGTACAGGCCAGAGGTGCAGGGGCAGTGAGAGGATTCACCAGGGACAGAGCGGGGAGCAGAACAGGCCAATTGACCAAATTCACTGCTGAGGGGAGCAGTGGGAAGACAGGAGAGACAGACCAAGTGGGTCACTCCCCTGGCCAGATTGAATTCATGCTGAAGCATCTGTGGCTAGCTTCATAGTGTTGCACTTTGACCCATTGTGCCACTAGGGAGGGCCTGGTGACTCTCTTTTAAGAAACTAATTCAAGAGGACACATTCCTGGGCTCCCTGGTGGCCTAGGGGTTAAGTCTTTGTGCTATCAGCACTGTGGTCTGAGTGACACCCTGGTCAGGGAGCTATCCCACATGGTGTAGCAGACCGCCAACCGTTCTACTCCCCACTCTATCTCTGATGAATCCTCTCATCCCCTGCACTTCAGGCCTGCACCCCAGATCTTCTAAGCAAAAACAGATATATAAATCTTTAAAAAAAAAAAAAAAAAAGGACATGTTCTACTGGAATGGAGTGGACCATGGTGACTATTCACTCACACACCTGGTGACTCAACCAGGATCTACTCATTTACCCTGGGGTAGGAGGTGAGGGCAATTCTCTTTTCTGTTGACTCTTATACTCTGTTCTCCTATACAACAAAATCTAGAAAAGCACAATTTTGGAAACAGACCTTGGATTCATCATATATTAACTGGGAAACTGAGGAAAGTTCAGACTTCTCAGTGGCATGAGTCTTTGCATCCTTGGCTGGCAGGTAGGATGAGGAAACTCAGATGTGTGGATTTATGATGAGGAGAATAAAATCCCAAACACAGTGTCGGAGCAGAGGCATGGCAAATAGCAGTCACCAGCCTTCTTGTGAGTTGATAATGAATGCAGCATTCAAGCATTATGACTACTCTGTCTTCATCCAATATGGCTACATATTCTCTTGAAAGATTAATGATTTTATTTACAGAATGGGAAATACATCAGTTTGAAAATCTGGCTTGATATAATCAAAACTGGACAAACCCCATAGTACTCTAGCTTGGGGAATACCAACATCCTGGCATTGAAAAGTATGCATTATTTCCATGAGGAGAAAACTTGGCTACCAGGCATCCTTCGTTCTCCCACTTCAGAAATCTTATCTCTGCAGAACTCACTAACCCATGACTTCAGGATGATAGATCAATTTGGTCATAATTAGCCAGATAATGGTCTTATGGGAATTCCCTTGTGTGATATCCATGTGACCTGCCATTTACTTGATCAAGGACGCATTTGGATTTGTGCAGGAAACTTGTGTATTTTATATTTGCCCCAAATTGAAAATGTTGTTCACCCTGTTTACTGAGCAGTCAACATGAATAAACAACCCTTAGAATTTGCTGGCTAGGTATTCACCACTAGACCTGACACAGGGAGATGCCCGTAAGGATGTTCAACAAATATACAGGGTTCAATGACAGAGTTAAAATATCTCCCAGATGTGGGCCAGAAGTGCCTGTGCTAAACTGAGGTGGGGTCTTGGGTAAATGATGAAGAGCCACAGGCCTGAGACCTCTGCATCTGCTGAGAGGAGAAGAAGCTGCTGCAGCTTCTGTTCTGATCCTTTCTGCCCTACATGGGAGGAGAAGGTGCCGCTCACTAGGGAACCATGACGGAGGCGAGGACACGTCCAGGCCTCCCGAGGAAGAAGACTCCTTGACCAAGTGTCACCGGTCAGGTCTTAAGCTTTGGGTTGGTCGGACCTGGATTCAGGCCCTGACTATATCACTGACTGCCTAACTTTGGACAAGTTAGTGTGAAATAGTGCTAAGAAGAGTAACTTTTAGACTATAACTCCAAAAGAGTGGTCACCAAGAGGGAATGAGGTAGGTCAATCACAGGGTGAAAGACAGACTTAGGCTTAATGTAGTGTGTACAGACATGGATTTAGAATGATGCACAGCTGGAAGCAAATGTGATAATGCAATATTACTTCGATAATAAAACAGATAAAAACTACTCATCCCCTTGGGTAGTCGTGGCCACTTGGGGGCTGCTCTGACTGTGTAAAACCCTCCAGGATGTAGAGTGACAGGCAAGATCCCTTATCCTCAGAGAATGGAGACATGGGCTGGAGTACTGGGAAGTAGACACAGTCCCCCTGTGGGGAAAATCATGTTTCGCCTCCAAAACTCTAGTCAAGAACCAGAGTTCTTGACTAATGGGCCCTGGAGGGGGTTGGATGCCTACTGGTTTATACCTGAGAAAGGAAAGCCCTCATTAACCAGGAAACCAAGGAGGAAACTTAGGGGCAAGAAAGCCTCAGGGCCCAAAGATATTTTAAGATTTGCAAGATGGAAGTGTAAGCTCAGAAAAAGGCAGCTGATGTGTCAGCTTTACCGCCACACCCAGGCGAAGCCTTTCTGGTGAGATGGTGGCATCTGCATGGCAGCTGGAAGCAGAGCTGTTGTCTGCACTGACGCTCAAGCCATGAAACAGAAACCAGCTCTGAGGATGAATGAACTGGAAGGACAAGCAGCTGCTTGTGCAGTCCACCCCAACAGCTTTCAGGAAAACTCCTAAGGTGGGTGCCTGAAAGTCCAAGACCAACCAAGAAGTGGCTTTCCAAACTTCTAGCCAGTTCCTTATTCTCTGTCTCATGCCAGCCTTAGACTCCAGGGACACCAACTTACAGCGCCTCCCTCCCTTCTCCAGGACTTCTCTACTCAAGACTTGCCCCCCCACCCCACCCCCCATGTGACCCTCTTCATGCATCCTTCAAGCCTCCCCTCAAGCTCTTATGTCACCCCTGCACTGCTCTGCCTTTCACAACCCCCAAGAGACTGGAGCCACTGTGACCTTGATGCATTTCACAGAACTAAGTCACATTTGTTTAAAGTATCAGTCAATCAGCATTGCATTTGATCAATGAAATTGGAAAGGTCCTAGCCCTGGATTGGGGCTGTATCTGGCATGGAGTGGGTATCTGGCATGAACTTCTGCTCTGGCAGAAAAGGGAGCTGCAGCAGGTTGTTCATGTACATACTCCCTAGGTGGACAGCTGCCCCTTTGTACCACCCTGCTCTGCCCCAGCAGCTCCTGGCCTGCACTGGCTATTCTCCATGCAAACGCCCATGCAGGAGTGTGCCTCACACTGTGTGGCATCAATCCATCTGTCTGTGTGTGTCCTGTATGTCTGAGAATACGAAAAGCTGTCATACATCATGAGGGTCCAGTACCTAACAAGGTAGTTCAGATTTTCTAGGTCCTTGTAGGAGCCCAAACTTATCGACCAGACAAATGGGTGGTGTATAAAAAGTAACAAAATCGGTGGTTTATAAAGTAGCCCACATCACTATGATAGATTAAAACTTAGACTAAGTTGATATGATGTTTACAAACTAATCTCCGTGCTCCCCATCAGGTGGGTCACTCCTCCCACTGAGAGTTCCTTGGGAAAACAACCCTCCTAAATCAGGGAACCTCAGGAGCTGAACACAGGAGACTTTGACCTTCTCTCTCTCCACCCCCAACACCAGACGGCCCACTCACCCATACCCTCTGTTACCTGTGTCCCCTTTGCTTCCTTTCATGCCTGCTGGTCCTGGGCTCCCGGGCATCCCTGGTGGTCCTGGACAACAGATGTCACATTGTGTGTAAGGCTGGGCTGTATAGAGCTTCAGACACCACGCCCCAGGCCACTATGGACCGAGGCCCTCACCTGTCAGTCCAGTGGAACCAGAACTGCCAGGATCACCCTTGGCACCTGGGGGTCCTGCTGCTCCTGGAGGTCCTAAAAGACCTCTGGGTCCAGGCTGACCTGAAAGTTAAGTCATAACTGAAGGCTGGTGTGGTTGGCAGCAGGCCTTGCTGCTCACCCCCCTCGACATGCCTCTATTTCAGACGGAAAACCTAGATCACCTAAAGCCTTTTATGTTCCCTGGACACTTAATAAAAAGCTGTCTTTGGAAGTCATGAATAGACCTCTAAGCAGGAGGAAAATTACAGGCTCAACAATGTTTGTGTTTTTTTTCTTTTTACATTCCCTGCTGCCATTTTGGACTTGTGGACTATCTAGGAACTCTGGTTGTGAGTGTCTGGGTCCACACTTCTGTGTAGCAGAGTGGGACAAAACTCTAAAGAGGAGCATCAATGAATCATGCTGCTGTTACTCTTGGAAGGGGCCAGGCTTTAAGAAATCCTGGGTGCTCTAGGTTTGATGTTGTCCAGGGATAGTCTAGCTGGAATGGTACCCAGATTCCCAGAGCTCTTACCTTGATCTCCTTTGAGCCCAGGAATTCCAGTCACACCTAAAATGAAGAAGGGCTTTTAGGGATTGTTTTCCCCCTCTAGTTCAGCCTGGCAGGGAAAAAAAAGGTGGGGAGATACCTAGAGACCAATGGACTTGATCATGCAGACTCTTACCTGGAGGCCCTGGCTTTCCTGAATCACCTTTACTTCCTTGGGCTCCAGGAGGTCCCATGACACCTGTGTCTCCTTTTACACCCATGTCCCCTTTGCTTCCTGAAAAAGACAAGACATCAAAGTTTGACATGGGAGGAAGGCAAACCAGGTCACCCACTCTCACACTTCCTGTCCCACCCCCAAACCAACCTCACTCTTCCTGATCTCCTTGATGTGAGGTACAATTGCTACCTTCAAAGTTCCTAGAGAGATGAAACAGCAACTCATACAAAAAGGATCAAGTGACCTAGTCTGGCTGATGGGCAGTGGAAGGTACAGAGTGGGCTTTCAGGACCTTGGTCAGCGCCCTGGCAGGGCAGGGACCCCGATCTAGAGCCTACCTGGTTCCTTTTAGTGTCTAGCTTTGGGGATTTATTTATCAAGTTTTCTGAACTGAAATCTGAGTATTCCGGAAAGTAGAACTCCAATGCTGAGGATAGAAACTTGAGGCAAAAACATTGTGGTAGCTTAGACGGCTGTCAGCAGTTCAGCGGCAGGCTTTCCTGTTACACGAGTTTTCGAATTTTCCACTTGTCATCTGCATTCTAGTCTCAGTCCAGCCTGTCCTCTCCTCGGTCCTCCACTGCTGTCACTTCCTCCTCCCTTCCTGCCACTGCTTGGTGCATATGAACTGAGGAAGCCTGCTCACAGGGCAGGGCTGCTGAGCCCTTTCTATACTTCCAGTTCATCACAGCTGGAGAGACAAAGAAGGGTGCTAGCTAGTGAGTTAGAAAAACAAACAAAATGATCAAAAGCGGAAGGAATCAAGCAACAGTCTGCAAGTCTTTCTCAGTCTAAGCTTTGAGACATGTTAAGGGTAGGCTAGAATTGATTCCTGCAGATGGTTTGTATACTTGAGGAATGATTGTTCTTTGATGGAAGACAAAATGACATGAAGAACTTGTTTACAGCTAAGGGTTCTTGCAGTAGCCTCAGCTGCAGCACAGAATGGCCATTCAGTGCTCATGTTGACAGAGGCCAAATGGCCCCTGTGAGAAGGGACTAGGAATTATTTCACTGGAGGAACTTGTTGGTGTTTCATTCCACTGAGTGGCCATGGCCATCATTAATGCCCTCTGGGATGAGTCTTTTACCCTCACTGCCAGCCACTTTCCCTTCCTTCCCTAGGCCACCTCATGCCCTGCCCTTCAGGGAACTTCAGGGAGGAGGATCCTCCCCCTCTATTAAGGGGAAGAGTTTCCTAAAGGAACTCTGCAGAGTTTTGTGGACTCTGCCCCCTACTCCAGCTTTCTGGATCCACCGCCTACTCCAGTGATTAGAAAACTACAAGTCCCAGCAGTACCAGGGAGAGAACTGCAAGGACCCAGGGGTTGAGCTAGCAGGAATTCTGGGACACTGAGGGATAAATAGGGCGCCATTTGCTATAGTGCTCGCTCGCTCAGGAAATGGCTCTCCAGACCGCGTGATTTGGGGCTTTCAGTTAGTTTGTTACCAGAGCTCCAAGTCAGCTGAGCAGGTAAGATATTCCAGTTTTTGTTTCCTTTTCTTTTCCCCTTTTGTAAATAAACCCATTTTGACTCTTTTGTGTCAGTTGTGCTGTACAACTGAATTTTAAGCACCTGGGTGAGGCCCCACGGACAGACGGCCCAGTGCACGCTGGGATGCCCTGTAACACCTCCTCTGAGTTCCTAGCCCTGCCTGTGTCCCCACCTGACTCAAACTGTGTGTAGCTTGAAATTGTCACCTCTTTTACATAATCCTTACCTCTCCTGGATAGAGGGCACTATGCTTCCAGGATTCACATAGGGAGAGCACAGAATAGACATGGCTGCAAAGTTGGGTCCAGTTTCTTAACCTCTCAGCCAGGACCAACACCCCGACTGGGCCCTTACCTGGAAGGCCCACATCTCCTTTGTCTCCCTTGACACCAGTGTCTCCTTTCGGGCCAGTGAGACCCCCATCGCCTTTGCTGCCCTTTGCTCCTTGGGGTCCTGGGGATCCTGTGAAGGGAATGGAGATGGTAGTCTCATTGTACTTATGGAAGTGGTCTCTTGGGAGTGGGGCAGGAGAGCTCCGATGAGAAAGGAAAGTGGCCCCCAGAGGAAGTCTGGAGGATATGCTAGCTCATTTCTTGGGTGGTTTCGATGAGGTACAAGGACTGTGGTTGTGTTTTAACCCTCTGGGGCTTGGAGATGTGGAGAGGAGGATTGGGGGCTGACTCAGTGCCAAGGCATCACTGAGCCCACAGGGGATGCGCAGATTACCAGTGGCTCCTTGCTTTCCTGGAGTGCCTTTGGAGCCTTGGGGACCTGAGAAGAAGGAGAGAAGAGCTCATTCATTCATTATGCTCTGTACCCTGGATCAACCAACACCCTAGAGCCCGGCTTTGGACAAAGCAACAAGAACAAGGAGGTGTCGCCCTCCCCCATCACTACCACAAACACATGTGCACACTCATGCACCCAGTCCCTGGTGACTCCAGGCACTTTGCTTCATTCCCAAGGGCAGCGTCCTGCCTGGGAAGCTGAGAATGCATCCTGTGTGGTGGTGGAAGAAAGACTTGAGAGTAAGGTTTGAATTGCAGCTCTGCTACTCAGCACACTGGTGAGCTTTGGAAGAACCACTGAAGTATTCCACACTTCAGTTTTCTCATCAGCAAAATGGGGCTGGTAATGGCCACCTGATTGTGCTTCAGCACCCAGGACAAAAAGGAAACGAGAAACAACAGTCCCTCCTGTGAGGCACAGAAGCATAGGGGAGACTGTGGAGAGACACTGGTGGTGAAAGAGGTCCCAGAGTGGGAGGAAGTCAGGGAGGGTTCCTCAGAGAGGACAGTAAAAGTGTGAGGCTATTGAGGGAGGGACAGTGAGGAGGGGGGAGAAAAAGGTGGATGTGGGCAGAGAGGCCAGAACTGTCTGTTAGGCGATTGCTTGGCTGTGGAGGTTTCTTGAGCCCGGGCTCCTGTGGTTATCACTTGCATCAAGGTGGCAGCTTGGCGAGGTGGCTGGGAGGTGGGGGTGGGGTCGGGGTCTTATGAGTGAAAGGATTGGAGGCTTTGCCACTGAGACTCATAACTGCATCTGACCTCAGTTAGTCACAGCTATGAGCAGCAATTTCTGAATTACATGATTTTCCCTGGGGTTGGGATTAGGGGGTGCAAGGGTTCTCTGGACTCCCAGTGGAACCACTGAGGTCTATTTTGTGTGTGGACCTCTGGAGGGTGGGTCAGAGAAAGGATGGCCTGGGTTAAGTGACCTTGCACAGCCCAGCTGAGGCCTCTGTCAGAGCAGAGTGAACGCCTCTCATGTCCCACTCCTTCCCAAAGGGCAGGCTGGTGCTTTCAGGCAGGCCTGTCTGGCTCTACCCAGTGAGTTCCCCTGGCCAGGGTCACTCCCTTTCTCTTGAGGAAAAAGGGTAGCTGGGGAGGGAAAGCCAACACCCCTGAGAGACCCCTCCCTGATCTGAGCCCTGTGGGCTGAGTATGGCTGAGAGTTTCCCAGGGCGTATGCATGCATGTGTGGGTGCATATGTGCAGGTATGAGGACATGTGCACATGTATGTGTGCATGCCAGGGCTGTGGGTGCCCCCTGCACCATAAACTCTGCTCCCATTATCCACCCATCATCCCCTAGCCCCTTTCTGGAGACTTAGAACTGTGACCCTTGGGATCCCTTCTATTAAATTCCTTCCACACATTAGTTCCCTGAAAAAGACTTACCCCCCTAACAAGTGTCCCTTCTGCCACTGGCAGTGTTTTCTTCCTGCCTCTTAGAGTCTCTTCCTGCTTAGAGTCTGTGGGTTGTTTCCCGTTCCCTCCCCTGTAAGTCCCCTCATTCTGCTCTTTTCTCTAGCAAGGTTTTATTGTCTTTGCATCTGTACAGCTCAGCAACCTCAATCTTTCCCAGGATCTGGAAACTGGAGCATCTAGGTGGAAAGTGGAGGGGACTGGAAGGTCAAAGACTCTCCAGTTTGGGTCCCCACCTCCTCCCGTGGAGAAGCTGAGCTCCCCACATTCTCTGAGCCAGCCTCTCCTGGAAGCTTTAAGCTGCAGCCTAAAGGCAGACATAATCATGGGTTTTTAATCAGTTTCTCCAATCTTTCAGTGACCCTCTGAAGCACTCTCATCCCCATCTTTCTAGACAAGGAAACTACATCTCCATGAGCTCAGGGGACTCCCCCAGTAACAGTCCACATGGGGCAGATGCTCATCCTCTTTGGTCCCTAGATCAGAAAGCTTGACTCTCCCCACTGAGGATGGCAGGTTTGCTCTCTTGAGCATGAGGGGATTGGTGCATCTACACACCTCCAGCCCCAACTGGGTACGTACCCCCCTCAACATGTGAGCTAATTCCCAGCATCTCCAACCTATCTAATGTCTCTAGCTGGCTGACCCCCAAACACACAAAGCCCCTGGGGCATTAGGTCTCTGAGAATGCCTGCTGTGGTGCGTACACACATCTCCTACTCACCTGCCTCGCCCTTGACTCCTTGTGGGCCTTGGGGTCCCGGAGGGCCTGCAAGGGAAACAGAACTCAGAACACAGCCTGGACAAAGAGGAGGAAAAGGATTGTGTGGCCGGTAGAGAGAGACCTGTAACGGAGGCTCTGTTGCATCCCATGGCTCCCTCAGCCCCTTCTTAGCTGGTGACTGGGGGTTGCCAGGCATGCCCTGGGAGCCCTATTGACCTGAAAATCTGAGGAAGAGGAGCAGAGACACCAGAGAACCAACCAACTAGGTGAAATGACTCTACCACACACAGTCATTCAATAAGCAGTCACTGAGCACACTGTTGTGGGGGGAAGAAAACTTCCCCACACAGGAAAGAAAACTGCAGAAGGAAGGAAGGAAGGAAGGGGAAAAAAGAAGACAGCTCCTCTGTGCTGTGCAGGTAAAACACAACCATCTTCTCATCTGAGGCTAAGTTGGACAGACCGAGTGCCACCCCTTAACTGGGTGACCTTGAACAAGTCAATTCATTTTAAGTCTCTGCTGCCTCAGCAGGAAAATGGGGTTGTGAGTCGGTTTTGCTGCTGTTCCAGAGGCTGCCAGCTTGGCAGGCTGCAGTTGAATGGCGCCTCAGTGTGGCATCCGGCACAAGGTTTCCACCCTCCAAGGGCTGCTTTGCAGACTCACAATGACCCGGGCAGGTGAGAGAAGGTTCCTTCACCTGTCCTAGTCAGTTTGGGCTGCTTATTAAAATGCCTCAGACAGGTAGCCAATGAAAAACAGACAGAGCTGGGCATCCAGGGTCAGGGTGTCTATGTGATGGGTGGACACCTCTTTTGGAGGTGTAGACTGCAAAGTTCCTGCTATGTCCCCCCACCTATAGTTCCAAAGGTGTGAAGGAGCTCTGCGTAGCCCCTTTTATGGGGACTCTAACTCCAATCATGAGGCTTCCTTCCCTTGTAGCTGATTCGCCTCCCTAAAGCCTCACTTCCTCATACTATCTCACCTCAGTCTTTTCATGTGAATTTGGGGTAAAAGTGCCATGTTGCCACTGGGAAGACTGGTTTTCTAAGAGGTGCTGGCTCTGCCTGAGGTCATACATTTGTAAGGAGGTGGCAGATTCCAGGTCCTCACGGCAGAGCCTGCACCTGTGTGTGCTATGGTCACTGCAGCAATGGAGCTGCTGATTTCAGAGTAGAACTCAGGCCCAATTTGTGGGAGCCCTAAGACGACCTCATTTCATAGAGACAAGTTTGGAGCCTGGAAGGGTAGAATTGGCCATCACTTCAGCACAAGACTCCTCTCAGACATGTCTCAGAGAGGCACTCTTGAGGATCAGTTCAGAGTTGACAGCTAACTCCCACTGAAAACTGTGTGACCTGGACAAAGGTCTTCACTTGGTCATATTCCAGCCTTCCCATCTGGGATGGAAATAGCAGCACCCACCTCAGCAGGCCTAACTAGGGTCCTCGGACAGGGAGAAAAGCCACTGAAAGGGATGCTTGCTACACCTATTAGCTAAAGGGAAGAGGAGAGAACCCTGGAGACCTGTACCCCGCAGGGAATGCAGCAGAGCTGTGCCCCCTCCTGGTGGAGTCAGACCACAGGATCCTGCCCCTGTAGCTCCCAGGCCTCCGCCAGAAGGCGGCTCTGGTACACAGGAACCCAAATCCTCTCCAGGCTGGCACCAGCCCTGCTGGCAACGCTGGAGCAGATTTCTCAACCACTGGGTTGAGAAGAGGTTAAACTTGGATTCTGCCAGTTGACGTGATGGAAATTGTTAGAACTGCATTTCCTTGGTGGGAGGAGCATTTCTTAGCCCTGGGCAGTCCGGGCATTCTATCTTTTCATCTCCAGCAATACCAGGCAGGGCAAGTGATAACAGTAACCAAAACACTATTGGATACTTATTCTGAGGACACAGGCTGAACACTTTACTGTCATCATTGTCTTCTCACACCGCCCCCTCCGTCTTACTTGGAGGAAATAGCTCAGCATTGTGAAATGACTTGCTCATGGTCACCAGCTCATGCAAAGCAGGGTCCAGATCTTTCCCCATCTGTGTTGTCCTAGTCCACACTCCCTGACCAGGGGTGAGGCTGCCCGAAGTCCCCCCTAGTCCATGGGGTGATCTGGGCCACACTGGAAAAATGATGACACTAAAGAGTTCTGTCCCAAGAACATTATGTGCATAGGCTTTCATGGTAAAATCTCAGCCATTTAGCAGGGACATGAGTGAAGTGTGTGTGTGTGTGTGTGTGTGTGTGGAGGTGGAATGAGACAGCAAGTGTGCCACAGCCTGTCTCCTTAGAACATCTTGTTACATAAGACATTATTTACACATCACCCCCATGGGACTCTTAAAGCCACCCTTTAAGAGGGAGGTGAGTAAAAGGATTTTCATTATTTCCTACACGAGCGAGTAGCCGAGATGTCAGTAAGTGAATTGAAAGGCCCAGAATCATGCAGCTGTTGGGCTGCAATCCTGGGATAGAAGCTTGTCAAGCTGATCTCACAGGAGATGCTCCCTCCCCAGTGGTTACGATTCTTTAAGATATATAGCTGGGTCCACCCAGGTAGGGTGCTGAGAATAACTTGTCTGGTAGTAGGTGCCTGAAAACTGTGCATAGGGGACAAAAGAGGAGACCTATGCTACAGTGGGGTGCTTGGGGGGATGGCCCCCAAGGGGGGTGCACCCAGGATATCCTGGAAAATGACTCTTGGATGGATGGAGTGGAATGGGGCCATTTCCCATTTCGCGCCGGGAGTAGGATCAAGTCTCAGAAGCTGGAAGTCCAGCATGGCCAGGGGACATAGAAGAGCCCCAAGTTTGTGGGGAGGCTTTGGGGACAAGTGAATGTAAGCTGGAGTCAAGTGATGAGATACAGATAGGCCCAGGCCAAAGAGTCCTTGGAGAAAGGATGTGAGGAGAGGGCAAGAATGGGTCAGAGTGAAAATGAACCTACCTGGAGCTCCTTGTTCACCTTTGAGCCGGAACAGCTCTGTAAGGGAAGGTTCAGATTGAAATATGAAGTTTCCCAGAGCTTCCAACTCATTGATGGAAGTTTCAGTCCTCTCAGATGAGGAACAGAGGATTTAGGCAGCTGGGGAGGTAATGTTGGAGGGAGGGTGGAGGTGGACTATAGGGGCCAAACACTTGGATGTCTTCCAGATAATAGTCTTTGGGAAGAGCCAGACTTTTACTTGTGTCTAGTATTCTACACCTGAGAGCTGTAGATCCCTGGGAGCTGTTTACTGGCTCTGGTTAACCTTCATTTTCTCTGCTTTCAGCTGTTTCATTCAAGCCACTGGGTTTTTCCAGCAGATCCAGCTGTCTTCTCCCCTCCATGGTCCCCACATTATCTAGACTGGTTTAGTGCTTGCCACCCAGACCTATAAACCTGGCAGCACCAGAGGGGTCCTGGGAATTTCCCCAGGCTCTGCATGTTATCCACCCACTTCAATATTCTGGATAAGTCTGAGGGTTTTGTGACTCAGACCTGGTCTTGGACTGCTTGCTCTAGTCTCTGGTTCTTGCAGGTCACCTTCTGCTTGGACAAGGACACTGGTTCCTACATGCCTGATGCCACCGCCTCCCACAGCCCTGTCTGGAGTCACCCATGCAGGCTGTGCTTCAAGCCCATCCTATATGGCTCTTACTCTATGTCTTGGCCCTCAGGATCCCATATCAGACCAGGGTTCTGGAAGACTCCCCACCCCCTACTTTGCCAAGGAAGGGGATTCAGGGCTAGAAACCCCCTTGTCTATGAAAAGTAGCTTCTCCATCCCCCTTCTTCCCTGAAGAGTTTCAGTCCAGTGGGGAGGAAGCCAAACCTGGGCTCTGAGTGAAGTTGTCCACCTGTTGCATCAGGTACTCCTGCCTGAAGCGAAACTGGGTGAGCTGGGCCTGTAGGGCTTGCAGGCTCGGTGCACTGCCAGACAGATGTGGGACATGTGCTGACCGAAAAAAGGAGAAGGACGGGCTGTCCTGGGTGGCCACCGTTTCATTGGTAAAGTAATTCTCCAGGATCAAGAGCCGCTCCTGCAAATACAGAACTGGACACCCATCCCCACACCGCAGGGCTCTTTTAGGGACCTTATTGAAGTCCATGGCATTGAAGCACAGCCCTCACATCCTTGTGCTATATTTGCATAACTGTAGGTAATGAAAGTGTGGACACACATTTCACATGCTGTGAGGACCTAGCATAGCAACACCACTTTTTCTACTCTTGGTAAGTGTGTTCTCCCCACTCTGGCATCATAGTACATTCCTGCATGGCCTAAAAATGTGCCACTATACCCAAGGCCAAACTTCACCCTTTGTGCTATTGAGACATCATGCAAGCTCTGGCATGAGTGCATAACAGCTAACAGGCTGATGTGGTCATGTGTGACTTTAGTGTGCATGCCACATGTGTTCATGACAACTGGGCCCATGGCAAATGCTCTTGATTGATTTCATTGTGTGCTGGTGGAATTGCTTTATGACCTTAACATTTACATTATAATCTCTGTGGAAGTAAAAAAAGAAATCATGATAAATGAACTCTGGTTAATAAAGGGCCTTCCCACTAGAGACTGGGAATCCCTGTGTGCTTTCGGCAAAGGCAGGTGCACATGTGACTTCACACACACACACACACACACACACACACACATGCCCCTCTGTGTCTCCTTAACCCTGAACCACATCTCTGATGTTACCCAGGGACCTACAGCGCTCTCCCAGCAGGGAGCAGCAGCCGCCCCAGGCTCTCCCCTCAACCTGGGTCCTGTATCCAATGGAGCCAGGTTCACTCACACCCAGAGGGGCCTGGCTGGACCAGGACTGCTTTACCTTGCACCACCAGCAGCCCAGTGCCCACGGAGAGTAGAATCAGGTAGGTAGATACTATTGCCATGAAGCAGTTTACCCCATTTCTCTTCTTGGGTTTTGGATCTGTAATACAACACAGGCCAAAGTGACTATAGAAAAGGGTGGAGAGCAGGGGGCCCCAACCTGTGCCTAAATCCCCTATATTGTGAGTAGAGAGCTCCTCATGAAGTCCAGTGGGAAAGACACTAAAGACTTGCATTATCCCCAAGTCATTCCCTTGATTGTCCTACTTACCACAGGCAAATCCCTGTGCTAGCAGAGTAAGGTGCTTAAGCCAAGTGTTATATTAGCCTTGTTCACTGATAAAGCGTGGTGCCTAACCTTAGGGGCCTCTCAATAGATTCTTATTGAATGAATTAGTGTCTTTAAGTTTCAAAACTTCAAGAGGAAGGCAGTTGTTCCTGTTTTATAAATGAGCAAGGTATGGAAACGTTGAGAAAGCTTTTAGGTTAGCAGAAGCAGATCTGGAATTGACATGGGTCTTTTAGTACATTTTCTTTAGATTTTTTTTAAATTATTAAAGTAACATGCCATGTCTCCTCCCACGGCATCTAAGTGAGAAATCCTTAGAGCTTGGCACGGTCAAGGTACCGGGCACACAGGAGGAATATGTGGCCCTCCAGGAATAGAAGAATGGCTGATTCTCGAATGGTCACTGTAACTTTTGATTTGTTTCCTGATTCTGTTGACACACAATGTACTGAACCAAAGAAATGTTATGGACATTGTGCTTCGTTCTAATGATACTCTTGAAAGGAATGTAATTTTCTCTGTTCTCGATACTGATTTAATTCTGAGAAACTGCTACAATCTTTAATTCTATTAAACTATTAACTCCTGTACACCAGGTGACTTGTGAAAAGAATGGAGAGAGCAATTAAAATGATTAGCAAGGCATAAGTGATAGATATGGCATTTGTTTAGCACCACTGAACCTTGAATACACAATGGTTTCTCAGGGCCCCAGGTTGGTCTCGGGCAGGTGACATCATCTCAGAAACAATAAAAAAAAATGTATTATCTGTCACGCTTCTATTGAAAGAATCATTGTACTCCTATATTTGCTTGCCAAGAAAAATTGTATAAATGCTCTGCACTTTTAAAAATTAAATACATTCAGATATGCACTCCTACAAGTTGTGCCTGTCTGTCACTCAGCCTTATCCTTGTCTACCCTGCACCAGATTTGTAATCCCTGAAACTTGTCTCCTGCTCCTGCTGCACTGGTCCATGGCAGTAACGCATGCTTAAGTATAATCTATCAAACAATATAAAGAGCATCACAGGGTTAACAATGTTCCCTCCACCGCTCCCCCACCCTGAGGTTCTAACCCTTGAATTGTGACCTTCTTCCCATCCATCTTGTTCCTGGAAATGTACAAACATATTTATTGTTAGATAAACCCATTTCTTCCTTTTAATCTTACAAAATAATATCACATGACATTTAACACAGTACATTGCCTTTTGTAATGAATGCCCTTTCATGGACCTTTCTCTCGTTTTCTTTGTAGAGAGAGACTTAATTGTTCTTTTAATAGCTGATATTCTTTAAAAATAAAAGCCACAATTTGTGCAAAGATTTCCCTATTGATGAACTGTTTCCATTTCAGGGCATTACAAAAAGATGCTGCAATGGACATTTTCCCTGGGCCTGACCCCCACACCATCTGTCTTTCTGTGTAGGGTCATCCGAGGCCGTGTCTCACCACTCACATTGATTGAGAACCTACTCTGCTCCAGGCCCTGACTGACAGAATCTCTAATCCTTGCATCGATCCTGCAAGGTGGGTGTGATCACTCCCTTCCACCGATGAAAGGCCTGGAATTCAGAGAAGTTAAGGTGACACAGTAAGCATGTGGCCCTGCGTTGTCTAACCCTAAGACTTGTGCTAGCCTCACTAAGCTACTCTGACTGCTGTTCCTGGGAATATGCCGTCGAAATGCTCCTCAAGAGGAGATATGAAAGGGAAAAGAGAGCAAGTGAACAGCCTAGGGGACTGGCTGAGAGTGTGAGCACCATTTTTGCTTTGTGAAAGGAGTGGCTTTTCAATTGACACATACTAGATTTGTATGAAACTTAGGTCTTTCCCCATCACCTGTAGGGCTTATGTTATCTCACCGCTTTGTCATTCAGCCATGCAAGGAGTGGGAATCCTTGCATGAACACAGCCTAACATAAGGTAGGCTAGAGGTGATTCTGGCAGCACCACGAGGGGTGAGTTTCTTGGTTCGATGGTCTTTTAGTTGCTTATTTTTTAAAGATTTGTTTAAAAAAAAGATTTATTTTAAAAATAAATTGATTTATTTTAAAGATTTATTTATTTATGCATATAAGAACTGTGTACAGGCCAGAGGTGTGGGGTGAGAGAACAGGCAGATCTACTGAAATCCACTGCTGAGGGGAGCAGTGGGTGATCCAGGAGAGGTCTGCTGAGCCATGGATTGAACTTGTGCTACAGTGGCTACAGATAGTTTCAAAATGCTGTGCTTTAACCTGTTGAGTTAACACCTGAGTGGTGTTTTTGTTAGTGGAAAGTGTGTACGTTCAGTCTGATTGAGAGTATCTGTCCCTCCTACCTTGTACTGCACCTCCACCCCCCAAATCCATTCCCACAGTTGCCTGAGTGAGCTCTCTCACACACCCTGGTCAAGTTCCTCCCCTGCCTTCAGCCCTTCAGTTGCTGCCCTCAGGACAACTTCCCTGGACTGTCAGCCATCTCTGCCAGGACTACATCTCCATATCACATCTCGCCAGGGAAGCTGACCCGTGGTCAGGCCAGACCATCCAGGGTCAGAGCTTTCTGACTTCAAACAATGCCTCTTCTTAGAAGACCCAACTCTTTCTTCTCCCATCTGCATCACTAATTCTTACTCACCTTTTTGGAGCATGGTGGAGCTTTTTTCACTCCAAGACACATCCTCTGAATTCCCTGCTTCTGCTTCCCCACATCACTCTGCTTTGCACTGATTATCTGAAACTAAGTCCAGTTATGTCTCAGTCAACCCCACCTGGCTTGGATCTTCTTGGGCTGTATCCCAGCACTGACATGGCATCTGGGACACAGTATGTATGGGGAAGATGAACAATGCATATATGAATGAGTGACTGCAGATGTTTAGGTGATGAACATGTGGGGAGTTGAACACAGCTAGTTCAGAATTGTTCAAAAGAAATGAGAACGCAGTTTAGGCCTCAGGTACCCATATGACCATCTTGGTGGGGATGGGTAACATACAAGAGGAGCCTCACATTTAACACAAGTTGGGTACAATCTCAGAGAGAGGGATCAAAATGGCAAAACTTAACATGTAATGAAAATAAAAATATATATATACTGTGCTTAAGAGGGATAGTTATAGGGGGCAGAGGTAGGGAAGAGGGTCATCAGCATGTATAGAATATTCCATGCAGCAGCAGCAGAAAATACATTTTTCATAAACACATGAAATATTTCCCAAGAGAGATAGCCTCTGCACCACAGAGTAAACCTCAACATAATGTCAAAGAAATGAAGTCACACAGAATGTGTTCTCTCACATTAATTTAATTAAAACAGAAATTAATAGCATTAAGACAATAGGAAAATCTCCAAACATTTATCCATTAAAAAAAAAATAAACCAGGCCCTCCCTGGTGGCGCAGGGGGTTAAAGCACGGCACTGAGAAGCTAACGCCTCTTCCGCATGAGTTCAATCCCCGCCTGGGAGGTGATCCACATGGCCCAGCGGACCTCTCCTGACTCGCCCACTGCTCCCCTCAGCAGTGTACTCATCAGTTGACCTATTCTGCGCCCCACTCTGTCTCTGGTGAATATTCTTACCGCCCCTGCACCTCTGGCCTGTACCCCAGTTCTGTATGCATAAATAAATAAATCTTTAATAAATAAAATAAACCTAAATAATTGAGGAAAAGTCTAAAAAAAACTTTAAATAGAATAGGATCAAAGTTAAAAGATAATATATCAGGCCCTCCCTGGGGCACAGCAGGTTAAAGCGCTGCACTAAGAAGCTAAAGCTACTTCTGCATGAGTTCGATTCCCGCCTGCCCCAGAGGCAGACCTCTCCTGACCCGCCCGCTGCTCCCCTCAGCAGTGTACTTCATCGATCTGCCTGTTCTGTTCTCTGTCTCTGGTGAAGCCTCTCGCCACCCTGAGCCTCTGGCCTGTACCACAGTTCTGTATGTACAAATAAATAAATCTTAAAAAAAATAAACTGAGCAAACAGAGAAAGGAAATAATGAGGATCACAACAGAAATCAATGAGATTTAAAATGGGAGTACACAAGAGAAATTCAATATAATAAAATGCTGACTTTTAAAAAATAAATTTGTTAAGACTTTAGCAAGACTGCAGAGAAAAAGGGAAGAATACACAAATCACCAATATCAAGACTGAAGCATTTTAAAAAGAAAATAGGAGATACTATTGCTAACATTGTGATCATGGGTTACAAAAAATGGGCCAATTCCTCAAAACTCACAAACTACCAAACTCAACCAAGATAAAAGAGATAACATGAATATTTATAACCATTAAATAAACTAATTTATAATTAAAAGACTCCTGAAAAGGAAATACCCAGGTCTAGATGATTTTATGGGAGTATCCTAACAAACTTTTTGGCCGTCAATAAATATTTATTAAATTCACCTGGATCATATTCAAATCCCTTTGTCAACTTGTGGTTTGAACATAATTATATTTTCTATAATGAGAAAGGGAGGAGGGGAAGAAAAATATTGCAACCTAAAGAAGATTAGTATCTCATCAAATAAGGAAGCCTCAAAGAAATATTTATTATATGAAGTCACAAAATATTCTTTAAAAACCTCATCTGTACTACTCTAGAAAATTCATTTTTTCCAAATCAATAGTAAATGTTCTTCTAGTCTGTTTAATTTAAGCAGTTAAGCTTATGGTAGCTCAGATGTTACTTAAATTTAGTAAAAATTCTTACTTCATAACAGATTAAAGAGATTATCCACCAGATAGTTCTCACTTGTTTGCTGTTGAAAATTTTAAAGGTTTTTGTCCCATACATCTTTAAAAAAATCAGCACT